AACACTTTTTTTAGTAGTTCCCTTGTCTAAAGAATATTCAGACCCTCTTTCTAGATCAGGCTGTTACAAGATTTTGTGCTCGTGGTAGGGTATATATGGGGTAAATCTGCAAACACATTCAAAAAAGACTATGTGATCAAACAACCACATTGTAAGGTCTGTGGTTATAAAAATCTGAGCTCGCTGACCACTTTTTGCGGACACAGGACACTCAATAGACTGGTCCATAACACCGTTTGCGGGTTACGGGGACTTCGCGTCAAAACGTAAGATTAGAAATTAACAAAACAGCCAACGTCTTGAATAAGAGAAACGAGTGTAGAAAACGAAGTTGGAACTTTTTAGGGTTGTCGGATAGACTTAATGAAAAGGAGGGAGAGGAGGTGCATGAAGAGTTAGAGCAAGAGTAGATGGCTGGATTAGCATCGTATCTAGCTTGAACTATCACACTTCTTATAACATGACCACTAAATAAACACAAAAGGCGAAAGCACAAGCCCAAGTATGGTTCAGCATTAGGCGATCGTACGCTAGTTTTTGTGTGATTAGAGCTGTCACCGAATGCACTTTAGGTTCGGGAAGTTAACTTCACTCATTTGGAGACATGTAGAGTAAGGTTGAAGTAACCAACCAAATTAGGGGAGGCCTTATTAAGATGGCGATGCTAGATGTATAAAAAAGAGACTAGGGTTGAAGTCGGCCACCTTCTTCTCTTTGCTTAGTACATTTTTTCTCTATTTCTTAAAGTATGGAACCTTGCTCTGATGATGTCTGTCACGGAGAGTACAGACGAAAGCTTTGCACAGTTTAATCGGGGTCACAGACCGGTGAGCCGAGGACTTATTAGCACAATTCAACTACGCGACAATCCTCCTTCGACTTCCGGTGAGACCACATCACGAATTCCTTCCAGCCAAATTTTCCGTCGAAATGGAGAGTTGTGCTACAATATTTCATTAAGGAATTCTTTGAAACCCAGCTGGTCTCTAGTAATCGAGATTACAGACGAAATCTAGGCCAGCTTTCCTATGAACCAAAGGAGCATGTTTCAAGAACTGCATCAGCCCGTGAATTGCAGTAAAAGAAAACGAATTTAAGGCACCGGTAATCATTCATCGTTTTATAGTGACATCGACAAGTAATTCTCTTAATCAGACATTTTCACACAAAATAATAATCACTAAACTAACTAATTTCAATCAGGACTAGCTCGGTATTTTTGCTGGAAGCTGTTCTGATTAAGTAGTCACAGTAAGTAGGCCTCGAGATTATCAGAATTCTAGTCATCCCAGGTCGCATAGGGTGATGAAGAACTGATTTTTAAATTTTTCTACCATGGAATTAGTAGGCCCCATAAGACCATTGTATCTATCTATATTTATATATATATTAGGTCTAGAGCGATCTGGATCAATTTTTGTTATAAAACTAATCCAGCCTACTCAATTCCCAATAAAAATGGATCAAGTGCAAAAGATACGTGCCGTTTTTATGGTCATGCCAGTGAGTTTCCAGTGTTCATTTGCCTGTTCTGATTATGTCTGTCATATATCTGGTAAAAACTAGATAAACTAGAACAATCCATCTATAAAATAGGGATTTTTCTCCTCTTGGATGACGTAAAAGCAAATTTAATAATTTCGCCTAAACTCAAGCCTGTTAGCAAAAGCTAGCCATTTAGTCAATTCTAGCGAAAGAAACCTCATAAATTATGCAGACAACACTCACTCGAAACACGAGATCGCGTTGCCATGACTTCAGAGCAAAGGCACGCTTACTGTTTTCTACCAGAATTAGAGCTAGAATTTGACCTTTAAATATAAGCGTTAGTGTATATTACTGCCTATAGCATCATTGAGAAAATTAAAGCATATAACAACATTTGGTTCCAAGAAGCAACCCAACCCATAAGCCACGAGCTAAGAATAAACATGATAGTATACAAAACTGTCTGCATTCTGTATTCACTTATCAAGAAACAGATGAAAGATAGAACAGCAGCAATCAACACAGATCCCAATCGAGATTAATCTGGCTGGATAACAGGGCTGTTAAAATATTGAGTAGTGAAAAAGTATATTTGCTGCCAATACTTAACTATTTTAACAAATTTATCAACTGTATGACTAAAGGAAAGCTTAAGAAAGGATTTTCTCCACATATCACACCGTCCATCGAAAGCTCGTTAAGTGTAATCCACTTCCCCGAGCTCAATCACCATAAGAACATATGAGTTGATTTAGATTTACAGACTTAAGAGCTAAATGTCATAGAAACTCGTTACTAACTTGATTGTTACTTCATCTCATTCAATAAGGTAAAACTGAGCTAGATATTACTTAGTCTCACATAAGGGTTAAAAATGGTCTTTACTGTCCCCGGCTCTGGTCAGATTGCACCGCAGGAATTATTTATTGGATCTGGATTTATTTAGTAAGTGACAACAAGAACTGTTTAGCCAGATCAAGGGAAGGCAATGGCCCTGAGTCTAGTTGACTCACATCGTAATATTCCATGTTCACAATACGCAACTGCATAAACCTAACGAAACATCAACCCTGCAAGGTTAAACGCTGGTTTATTTGCGTAAGGTGATAGCTAGAATCGCATCTACTCCCATTTCATTTGAAAACTTCGACTACTCCATAGGGAAAGCATGAGATAGGCAACCAAAGCATAAGGTCTTTATCTAGGATCACAAATTTAGGTAAAATAATTTAATATTATTGCGGCCAGCCACCTTATGTTAGTTAAATGTTTGGCTCGATTTTGCGAAAACGACGAGCTCTCACTCTGACGGTATCCTCCATATGACAGATAGTAGCTAAGCCAGAATTCATCGGAATCGCCCGACAGTGAGTGAGGAAAGGATCAACAATCTATGTCAGCCTCCAAGCCGAAACGGCCATTCGGTTTCCGATGAGGCCAATTAAGAATTCCCTTCAACCAACTTTTCTTCTAAATTTGATCGCCGATTCAAAATTAACTATTAAGGGATTCCCCACATATTAGCTTATTCACCTATCATCCCGAAAACCACGGCGCCCCAAACGATGCAATTTTTGAACTAGCGCTCAGGATACTAAAGGCCATTTTTAACCTTCACGTGAGACAAATTAATATCTAGCTAGGTTGTACTTTATCAAATGAGATAAAATAACCGTCAAATCAGTAACAAACGTTTCTATGAAAACTAGCCTATGAATACTAAAACAAATCATTTGTTGCTATGGGGAATGAGCTCGGGGAGGTGGATTACATTATCAACGATTAAACCACTTTCTTGAAATTGATAGAGCTAATAAACTTTATATACTTCACTACTCACTACTACTACGCAAATGAAAAATTTAGAATAATCAGAATTTAAATGTAAATAATTTTAAAAGCTTTTCGAAATAACAGTTAACCCGCAGCCCAACTTAAAAAAATAATAAGCTAGCAATTAAGTTTATAAACAAAGTAAATAAACTAAGGAATAAAATTAACTAGAAATGACCAAATAGTTTGCCCCAAATTACAGACATTGGTAGAGAAAGACACGTAAGCGGCAAGAAAACA